GATGAACAAAAGATAAAAAGTCCTAATGTATTTCCAATAATTCCCAATATAAATAAAATATAACATGACGTATTGAGTAATCGTGTCTGTAGAGTAAATGTATGAATTTTGTGATAAAGTATAGAGACGTGTGTATTATGTAACTCTGTCATTTAACAGATTTGTAATATGTTTTAGAATATAGTATAAATTCCAACAGATACAAATAATAATTTTCGTTATTTATATTAGAAAAGAATGAATACTAATATTCAAATTATGAAAGTAATTTCTAAATGTGTGTGTAATAAATGTTATCGATGTGGAAGATAATAAACTGACGAGAAAATATTCTAGAACGTTTAAAGAACATGTTTTTTTTACATCATTGTCTAATCTTCTTATAATTTCTGTTATATTTAATATACGAGAAAAAAAAGCTTATGTCAATTATTATACTCATTTCCTCATTATATATTTATATTAAATAATTTTATACTTCATTTTATCACAGAATGTTCTTTTGAAATAGTACAATCTATTAAGGCACTACCGCTCTTGAATGTGAATTATAGTACATCTTAAAAAACAATAATTTAAGCTTTTTTTTCTTCTCCTATATCTATTATTTTGAAGGAACATTAGTTTATGATATTATCATCATAGAATTACCTGTACTCTAGTGGTTTGCACCTAAACAAATGGTCAAATATAGAAGGACATGAAAATAATTTGTAATTGTCGTTTAATAAAAAACAACATATGCAGCTGTCGCCGAAAAAACTTGCACATCTTGTTATATAAATATATCCTCATATATAAGTCACTCTCAAGCAGTTTCCATTACAAGCTAGTAGCCTATGGTGAGTGCTAATAAACACTATACTTCAATATTTTATTCATTCGCCTTTAGATGCAATAAGAGACAAACATCATTTTCATTACAATATTAACATCAGCATTTTTAAATTCTTCACATAAAAAAACTCTAGTCCATCAAGGTTTTTCGATTTTCTGTTTTCAACTTTGCGTTTTACGATCGACTATAAGTTCTCGACAGGATTAGCATTTCGAGTATCAGACGGGCACTCCAATAATTTTAATACTTTGTTGTTGATTAATTGTTTAGAAATATTGTGAGTACGCTTAGGATCATTATCTTGATGTAAACACCAATTTGACGACATTCTTGTCTAGCAGGAGAAAGAAGACAATTTTTAGGTATACGAACATAATATGAACCATTAGGTGTCAATAGTTTTTCTTTAATTTCACTGAGGATTATTTAATTTTCGCATCGAATATATTGAGCAATATAGATTTTTTCTATTTCCATGTGACACAAAGTCGATCATTTCCTCTTCACTGTTTAAGTGAATTTATTTGTTTCAATGTATTTATATTATAATAGATAGTCCATGATGGATAGCATGAGCACATCTCATACCTCTGTTTCAATAATGTAATAACAATATATGATAGTTTTTTAAATCAGTAGATTATGTCATGATTAAATGTTTATATATAAAAATAGAACAGAAATCACACTTTTATATAGCCAACGTGTAGTAAAGCTAACGAACGTATATCCCTGGAAAAATCAAATTGATAGTTACTTTCTAACAGTGAGAAAATCGTTACACAAAACATTCAATTTTGTGCAAGTATTTTGGCGACAGCTTTATTAGTAACAATTCATATAGATTTGAGAATAATAGAAGAAATTTATTTTTAAATCTGATTTATTCAAGAAAAAATAACAAGAAGACTTTTTTCCAGTAAAACATAAATACACAAACAATACTATAATATTCAAATCTTTTTCATTCAATTCGATACCCAACTAAATAATATTTAGTGTGATCATTGTAATTTCTATTATCTTTAGATGAAAATCTATCGAATAGTTATTAAACTACATAATACATGGGCGTGTTTTTGAAGGAGAAAATGCTTGCATATTGTTCATTTCAAAAGTCGATCTTGGGTCATCAGAAGATTGCTCTCGCCGATTTTGACAAGATTGCAGTGTGGAAATCATTAGTATTTTACATTGTTGAATAAGTCGACGTAATTCATTTCGAAATGCTGTACCCGATAGACAATAAACATAGAAGTTCAATGAACAATTAATTAAAATCGATAATAAAACCCACCATGATTCATGTGCTTCGACAATAGTAAAATGTCCAACAACATGTGAAAATAGTGATGCAAGAAAAAGAGAAGAATGGAGAACAAGAACAATATTCATCCATGATGTAGTACGTGATTGTTTTTTGCGTGATTTATAAATAGTTTTTGTATGTAAACGACGATTTGTACATATAAGATGATGAACTATATAAGTATTAAAGAAAATAATCGTTCCAGTTGGAATTAATTCTGAAAAAAGACAACGTATTGTAAAATGATTCATGCCAATATGAATGTCATGAAAATATTTTTGCCGTTTAACAGATACATTTCGATGTAGATCACAATACATCATATTTGGTGTTGAATTTAATGCATCATTACTAAAATAATGAATGAAAATATATTATATATATATTAGAATAAGTTACCTAGTTATTTGTGGCTGATACATATAAACAGGAGGTAAAATAACACAGCTAAAAATAATAATCATCATTACAACTGGAACGATAAATTTGATTTTATAGGGTTCACATCGTTCAGAAAGTAATCTTAATTTTCTCGACACACATGTTAAACGTTCAAACATCCAGAACAATGTTATCCATGATGATATTACTCGAAAAGAAAAAGAGAATTCAAAAAGTTTACAAGCCCACCATTTCTGACCAACTAAATCATGTAAAATATTTCGTGATGATGAATGCAAAACAAATACATATTTCAACATGCAAAAAAAATTTATTATTGAACTGGAACTAGCAAAAAAAGTATAGGTTGATGATATTCGCCAAGAACGTCGAGATGAACAAAAGACAAAAAGTCCTAATGTATTTCCAATAATTCCCAATATAAATAAAATATAACATGACGTATTGATTAATCGTGTCTGTAGAGTAAATGTATGAATTTTATGATAAAGTATGGATACATGTTTATTATATGACTGTATCATTTAATCGATTTGTAATATTTTTCAAAATATAGTATAAATTCCAACAGATACAAATAATAATTTTCGTTATTTATACTAGAAAAGAATAAATGCTAACATTCATATTATGAAAGTAACTTGTAAATGTGTGTGTGTAATAAATGTTATCATTGTGGAAGATAATAAACTGACGAGAAATTAATATTCCAGAACGTTTAAAGAACATGTTTTTTTTACATCACTGTCTAATCTTCTTATAATTTCTGTTATATTTAATATACGAGAAAAAAAAGCTTATGTCAATTATTATACTCATTTTTTCATTATATATTTATATTAAATAATTTTATACGTCATTTTAAGGCAAAATTATATTAAAGTATTCTTTTGAAATAGTATAATCTTGTTAGACACTACCACTCTTGAATGTGAATTATAGTACATCTTAAAAAACAATAATTCAAGCTTTTTTTCTTTTTCTATGTGTATATTTTTGAAGGAACATTAGTTTATGATATTATCATCATAGAATTTACCTGTACTCTAGTGGTTTGCACTAAAGCAAAAGAAAAAAAAATATATCTATAGAATGTTAAACAATAAACTAATTACAGTAAAAATATATTCAACGAAGATGATTATTCATTTATTAAAAAAATGTAAGCCAGCTATTCTTATCTTATTTCGGGGAAAAGATTATTATATTTACTTATATGAAACAAATTCCTATCTGTAAGCTCTTTCCTTATTTCAAAAGCACGCAGTTTATAGTCTAAAAATAATGAATATAATTAGAACTATCATTTAATCTCTATATTACGATGTTGAAGGCATTAGTGTGCATCTCCATGGAGGGAATAATGCATGAAAGCAAGATAGTAATAGATACATAATAGTACATAAAATATTAATAACTGAGTATACTATATCATAATCATAAAACATTATATAAAAAAAAGAATGATTGAAGATATAATTTATATGTGTTCATTAAGGCGGCTGACTGCACGAAGTACAGCACTCGACTTATTGCTTTTGGTATTCTTCTTCTGCTCCTTTGCGACAGATAAGTCACGATTCAAGTGTGCCACTCGTTGTTAGCACCTGAGCAACATTTTAAATCAAAAAAGAGTTTGCTATATTCTTGAGAATGTGCTGAGTGCACATCTGGAAACCGTTTTTTGAAATTCGGTTCCGTGCAGGAGATACATAATTTTAAAAACATTTAATTAATACATGATGATTTCCTTATATAGTTATGTATGACTCAGCATTATGCGACCATTGATATATGAGATACTATATACAGGGGTTGTAGGAAAACGTAGAAACTTTTAAAGACTACAGTAGAAAAATTTAACTGTTTTCATTCTTACAGGTCACTCCTGTAAACAGCATATTTTAATTTTCATTGAACAAAGAAAATTTTCTCATACTATAAATATACATATCATTTACCTTATCGAACAAAGGTGAACTGCAATTAATATATGTAAAAATACTTATTCGAATGTAATAAAAAAATACAATCAAAAAAATATTGGTTATGTGTTGAACGAGAATGCTGTGTGTACATACATGCAAGTATAGCAGATGAACATATATATATATATATATATTAAGGGTACCCCCCCTCTTTTTTTTTTTCAAAATTTTTTTCGAAAAAAATTTTTTTTTTGTGTCATTGGTAGACCCTCTGTTGGTATTTCGATCGGCGTTTGAAAAATCTCAATCGCATCTGCCGTTCATTTTCTATCGAATTTCCACAAAAAACCTCTTGCCCGAAAAAAAGTTTTTCAAAAATCTTTTTTTCTGTTCTCAGAAGATTCTCCATCAAAAGTTGTTCATAAAAAAGTAGAAAAAAAATCAGATAGTTACCAAAATTTTTTTACATTTTTCTCAAAAATCAGTTTTTTGTCCAAAGGACCGAGTTGTGCCCAACATAACCCCCCTTTAATTTTGTCCGATCGGGCTGAAATTTTTACCGGTGATACTTTCACCTATTGTCCAGAGGTAAAATTGACCGTCTTCGTTTCTGACTATTCTATCCCGGTTTACAGGATTTTGAAGACCCGCTTGTTGGTTCCCCAGAGATCTTTTTGGTATTTTTGCTATAAAAAAAAACTAAGTGAGCTAATGAAAAAAGCTGAAAAATACCTCTGAGATACGTCCGTAGGTACTCCCAAAAAAAATTTCAGCTTAATCGGACAAAATTTGATAGTGAAAACCTTGGGCACAATGACACCCTATGGAAAACTATGGGGTCCCAAAAAACCGAAGAAGACCCCCTCAGAAAATGTTTTCCTCGAACACGTGTCTAACCAATTTAGGTCCTCTATCTATGGTAAAAATTTCAGCTCGATCGGGCTTACCGTCTTCGAGATCTGAAAATCGTGAAAAAGAGGGGTGGGGTACCCTTAATGATAGACATACTCATTCTGTAAATCCAGATCAAATAGAAGCAAAACTTCTACGTGATAAAACGAAAGAATAAATATTAGCTGTCTTTTTTCTTATGAATTAATAAACATACTACATAACATGCGTGAAAAATAGATCAATCATTTCGACGTTTTACTCGTCCACATTTTTTCTTTCGATATTTTTCTCTTTGTCTTATTTTTCTTTCGGCGTTTTTTAGCAAGACCGTGTTTAATAGATTCATTCAAATCAACATGTAACTGATAAGATGATTGTTCAGTGTCTTATAGTGGTGGAGTGAGAGATTATTTTGACGCAGTGATTTCATCTTATCTATGATTGATTCTAATGCAGTATTTTAAGTTTAAATCGATTAAAATGCCATAGATTATCATTCTATAATGATAGTTTCCATAATCAAGTTAAAGTCTCCCTGCCTGGCCATACAATGAAACGGTAAAAACAGCGTTTAAACAGTTAACGATCTTTAATACTTTTTCACGTTGTAACGCTAAGATTTGTTGAAACTTTTATTGTTTTAACAAATTTTCGCATGAGATGTATAATTCGACTTATAATATAAATGAACATTCAAAAGATTGTTCTTATTTCGAAAATAAATAATAAAACAAACTATTGATATATTGATTTATATCATTTATATGAACATTTTAATCAATGATAAATGGATTCAAAAAAACTTTTCTTTTTTTCTTTTCCTAACCTTACAGTAAAGTATTCATTTAACACAATTATATAAATGAGGAATCGATAAGAGAAAAATTTTCTTTTTTGCTTTTTCTAACGTACACACTAAAAAAATATAGATATTTGTTACTATCGGAAGTTCTTTTGGGGTTTCCGAGCGATTTAGAAACATTTTTTGTGTTTTCCGATAGTATCAGATACCCATTTTTTAGAGTGCAGTAAAGTGTTCATTCGTCACATTTAAATCAATGTAAAATCGATAAAATAATTTTTATAGGTATGAAATGTGCTTATGAATTTTTTTCATTTTATTTATATTATAGGTCGAAATAGGCAAGTACTCATATACTTCTGCTTTAGAAAAAGATTAAAAAAAAAGGTTTTAAATACCATTTTATTAGTGCTAAGTAAGATCATCTTATATTGCTCGCTGAGAGCAAGACGATACAAAATCACTTGTTGAAAGTATGCTTATAAAAAGATAATGAATAAAAGATGTATCAAGAGACTAATGTTGTTTAGTACAGCAGTCCGTAGCAGTACTAATGCAGCGGATGATAGAAAGAGTTAATTCTTGTTCTAATTAAATATTAACGAAGAACAATATTACTTTTACAAAACGTTTGGACCACTAATACGACGTTTAAAGACGCTAGATACGCATTGAGAGCATCATCGCCACGATTATCATACTTCTCATTAGACTTTAGCTCTAACTATTACTAGAAGAAAGATTTTTCTTCGCTTAAAATCTCTGGATATTGACAATAAATAGTAAACCTAAATTTTTATTTTTTATTAATCACCTACCACCGACTATGTATTCGACACTATAATTTATTTATTCAGTCAATAATAATTGTTATTTCTCTCTTTCACATATTTTTACGAAGTCAAAGTGTTATATGATAAAAAAATTAACCAATTATCATTAAATAACAGTATTAACACATTACTATTACCATTCATTATTACTAAGAGCGTATAAACAAATTATCGAATGGATTTGAATGATGTCATTCAATTTATCTGTTTGTTAGTATGATAATTTATGTTGTATAAGAAAAATATTACATCGATTCAATTTTCCACGAGTTACGATCAAAATAAAACAATATTTTGAATTATACAACAAGTATTTCGTCGAAACATCAAGTAATACATTTGTATATAAAATAATGACGAACAAAAAAAAAGAAGCACATGCAAATATAGAAGTAAAATTATCGAAACATTTTTTCATTCATTCCGATCAGCATTATGCAAATGTGTTGTTGAATCGAAAGGAGAGAAATAATATTCAGTCAAGAACAAACAAAATTTTCACATGCAACTATGAAAATTTCTTGGATTTTATTCTTTCTTCTTACTGGTTTGTTATTTTATTTAGTCTAGATTTTGTAGGAAGTAAATTGAATGGAGTATATAAGACAAAGCGAAATAACTGAAATAATTTATAAACTTACTAATAGTTTCATAAATAAAAGTCAGTCGAATATATTTCTATAACTTTTTACTGCATTTAATTTAACCAAGTAAGTGTAGAAATCTCTTCATACACGAATTCAAAAGCTTTCATTTACCATGTTAAGACTATAGGCGAATATGTGTAGGATTCACGCATACGATAACAAATGAACAATGAATGTTGAACCCCTCTTTCGAGTACAAAGACATAATTCTAAATAGTTTTTGGTTTGTTTCATCGTTTTAGATAACTATAAAAAGAATATATTTGATTATTTATGGCAACAGATCATTTGGATATTGTCTATTCGATCAATGAACGTATTAAAAAATTGCAAGAAGAAATCGAAGAACTGAAGGCAAAAAGCTCACGTTCAGGTAAAGCAGTTGACAGCCAAATTGAGCATCGTATTGAGAATTTAAATATGAAAATTAACGAACTAATACTTGAACGTACTCGAGAACTTAAAAAAGTACGATGGGGAGATAAAAGACAGCCAAAACCAAAACCTGCTCCTGTCCCAGATCCAGTCGCCGAGCCTGATCCACCTCCGCGTCCAGTGGTAACTAAGCGTGATCCATCACCAGTTCCGGTGGTTAAAGAGCGTGTTCCTACACCTATTCCAGTTGCAGTTCAGTCTATTATCTCACCATCTTCACTCAAAGTGTCGGAAATAGACGTTGGCACTGATTCAACATCGTTGACCATGGTTCCGACTTGGTTTAAGCCCGATAATGTACAAACAGCTTTGGGTGACATCGTCTATCCAGAAGGTACTACTGAACGTGACCAATTCATTACGGTGGCACGTTATCGAGTAGCACTTGGACAGTCAACAAATTTCATTCGACATCCATTAGACATTAGTGAGCACTCTACTGAAACGCTGGTACTTTCACTTGAAGCTCTTGCTCAACAATTTGGTGGTCAATTGAGCTTTACAAATCGAGATCTATCGTTTGAAAACAGTGCTGAAGGTGCAGCTTGTGGTGTACCTAATTTAGGCAGTGCACATCTGCTAGCTAATGACAGTGTACCAACAGCCCATTTTGCTTTTAAAGTTAATCTTGATTATGATAAAGATCTTATACGATCAAGAGAAACAATGGAAAATTTTGTTGTTAATTTTTCTGTTGCTATTGCTCAAATACTCGGATGCAAGAGAGATTATGTTCGTGTATTTGCTGTTCACAAACTGATTGGTGAAAAAAATGTGATTCAAGTTAATTTTGGCTTGACAACACCTAACCAAGAAGAAACTGAATTACTTGCAATTGAACTACAGGTAAGTTACGTGAGATCAAGTTTTTGTAGCAGTCAAATGACATAGAGAATTTTATTGTACCATAGGTGTTGAAAAGGTTTTATTAGACAGATAATTAAGGGTTTATGGTAAAAAAAAAGTGATTCTCATTAAACTTTAACTAGGAAATACTTTAAATATTAAAAGATAATATGGATCCTTTCAGAAATTGATATTATCTACTTCTTATTTTTTAATGAAATTTGAACTATACTGATTGCATTACAGAAAAAAAAGTTATCATTTACGATAATCTTTACAGACAAGTATTCGTGTAAACGTTGACAAACGGCATTTTTTATAACCGAAAACATTCCAAACCTTCTTTATAAAAAAGGATTTTAAGATAAGATAGACTTTTTTCATGAAACATAAATAGGTACGAAACAGCAAATGATTTTTAGAATCATCTTTCTGTCACTTAGACTTCTTCATACAGTTTTTAAGTATGAGAACACAATAGTTACTATATATATTGTTGTTATTTTTAGGATATGGCAAGATTAGGTTTCGGAGATAGTGAAATTCTTCGACTTATCCAATTGCGTGAATATAAATATGAATGGCGGTCAATTTTGTCTTATTTAGAGCTCAAACCAAGTGATTTTGATCCACGTTTTAATTTTGATTATACTCAACCAGGCCTGCCTGCACAACAACATCGTGCTAATCAACCATATTTCTTACCACTCGGTTGGTATCGTCATGCATTAAATGTGAGTCAAAAATATTCAGACGACGCTGTGTGGCTTGGTCACAACAACGTATCTGGAGAATGGCCTGTCGCTTTTCATGGTACTCATTCAGGTATGGTAGAGAACATTGCAGAACATGGCCTGTCGGTTGATGCTGGTAAACGTGGTCGCATATTGGAAGAAGCTATTCAACAGAAAGGACCGGGAATGAATCAGCCAGCGCTTTATTTAACTACTCATTGTGATGGCGGAGCAGAAGCATATGCTACAACGTTTCAGGTGACAAACGGTAACGAAATTGATACATTTCAAGTTGTTTTTCAATGTCGAGTACAACCGAAGTCATTTACAGTTCACAATTCTTGTGTTAGTGTGGGTCATCTTTGGCGAGTCATTGATACTAATGCAGTTCGTCCTTATGGTTTGTTACTTAGAAAGAAGGACATATAAGAAACAGAGACAATAATAAATATCGAATTTATGTAATTTCATTTACACTATTTGAATAATATTGTCTTCTATATTGAAAACTATTCAGAAAAAATGACGAATAAAACTACCTCATCCAATACCTATTAAAATATATGTGCAGAATAAGGACAATATACTAAATATATTGCACAATAACAGAATAAGAAAACAAAACGTTATTGACAGAGAGAAATAGTGATATTGAATGAATATCGAGACTTCAAAAAAGATGTTCCCTCTTTAGAAAACATGTCATGTATGAACGACACACTTTTATTAGAACAGAAACAAATTATTTGATAGAATATAACGTGAACTAATTTGTAAAAGTAAACTTCTAAGTGATTTATTATCAAATTTTTGTCTTCACATAAATTCTTCCAAATAACATTTTAACAATGCTCTAGAAAATATTTGCTTATTCTTTTTTTCGTTCTTTTAACTCGTAACCAATTATTGTCAATATTTTGACCAAAAATATAAGTAACCAAATATTTTAATACAAAAATATAAAAGAATATCAAAAAATCTTTCGTTTCATTTTTTCCATTACTCGAATAAATAGTATATTAGCCACATGCGCTGAGTCTAAGTTGGTTCTTCTTCTATTTAAAATAATATCGGACCTACTGAATCGATGTTCTACAGCGGCAGAGATACCAGGCCCTAGTCAAACATGTTATAAGCAAGATCTTACAAAAATAATTTCTTTTTTTTTGAAAAAGCATATCTCGATCATTAATATTTTTGATCGATTAATAAAGTATAGCATTCAAATGGTAATAAGTTAATTTCATTTACCAGACACAATCGGTCTTGTCAGCAAATATTCATTTGCAAAATAATTAGTAGGATATTTTAACAGAACTATGGATAGATGTAAATTGTAGAGAGATTTATTTAATTTAGATATTTTACTATATAAATGAAGACTACTCGAACTCTTTCCTCAACCTATGATTTTTAGGTGAAAACATCAACTATTCTGATAGTCATGTACTGGAATAATATCTAGCATGATAACTATGAAAATATCATATATACCAAAAGATTACTTCATCTTAACTACATATATTTTTAAAAATGATCTCAATTCATCGATTCTCATTCAGATATTTGTTTGATCTTAATAGTTCTATAATGAGACAATATTTCAATAGGTTAGATAATTAATTACTCATAAAAAATATCTATCAGTAGTTTGTATTACATGAACACTAATCAACTGTATTGGGTGTATCAATAGCAGAATATTTGTCTGAACTCATCACTTGCAATAGAATAATAAATCAAATTTTTCCATCGACTAAAACGATATTTTTTCAAGTAATCAAAAGCTTCAGGCATGTCATTTTCTCATCAATTGACGATTTTGCATGACGACATAAAAGTATACTCATTTTCTAATCAAAATTTTTTTCTGTTCTTAATATCTGCTACTAATAATATACATAATGATACAATTCAAATTCACACTAATAATAAAAGATTCTATAAAATTCATTGAAAAACTATTTTCGTTAAAAAATAAATACTACCTAGTTCATATTTAATGCTCTCATCTCCTGGAGTTCTTGACAAAAGCATCCTACTAGTCTTTAATGTGTATTTGTAACTTGTTTTATATTATAATGTACAGAAAAGTGATTTTTTATATTGACATAAATCATATTTATTTCTACTAGCGAACAAAAAATTAAATAGTATGCTTCATTGATTAATATTGCTTATCTTGATACAGACAAATCAAACGCTTTTTTTTCTTTTCTATCATTTGCTTATGTAACAGGGACACACACTTTTAATAAAACATCCATCATATTGATAATATTACAGCAGCAACTAAAAAACAAGTTTGATTTTGACAAAAATAATCTTTTTTTTCTGCCGAAGTTAAAATTATTCATTTTATATGAAAGTTCTAAAAGTAAATAGATACACGTAGTTTATGTAATGTAATAGTCACTGATATAAATAAAGTATAAAATAGTTGTGAAACAGTAAGTTATAAAATAACTCCACTTTTTGAATTTTTCATTAGTACCTTTAATCAAGGTCTACCAAAATGTAAGTAAAGATAAAAGCGAAAACATTGATTTATATAGATTAAGATAAATGTTTCATTATATTTTATAGATTCTTATAAGCACTCATAGATACTATACAAATTCTATATAAATCTTATTAATGAATCTTTTTTACAAAGTATAGAAATATTGAGTCAATGTAGAATTAATTTTTTGTTATGAGCTTATAGGATAAGTTAACGATGATTTTTACTTTCTGTTTTTTATAGTTCAAGATATTTTATACATTACAATGATATTATAAATTTATCCAATGTTTCTTTTTGTTTAGTATAACGATCACAAAATACGAGATTGTCAAAACTGAAAGTAGTTTTGTTACTCAGGGATGAAACAAAACATTTATATCGAACCATTACAAGAACAATTCACCATATCAATATTCGCACATAAATACGAATGACAACTCGACCACGTTTATTTGCTCGTACATGTGAAGTAAATCATAACTCTGAACAACTATCGTCATCAAAAAGGTCTATTATTCTACTACTAGATTTATTTTCAAGTGATATCCATTTACGTAAAGAACTTGATCATCTTTCTAACTGTCACTGTTCTCGAGCGTATTCTATAAACAACTGTTTAGATTTAATATATCAAGATGGTATTAAAGATGGTTTAATTTTGCTTATTATTTCACCTCGATTTGTTGACTTTGTTTTCGATACCTTGTTGGAAATTGTGCCACAGTTGTCATATATTTATTTATTTGATAAAGTTCTATACAACCAACACTTCAATCGTGATCTACGATTTCGTGGTATATTCGATAATGTTCAAGTATTAACTGAAAAAATACGTGAGGATATTGAAAAGTTCGCAGATTCTACTCATAAAAGCGAAGGCATTCAATATATACTTGAAGACACTGCAATATTTTTTTGGTATCGATTCTTCTTTAATATTTTAGACCATTTAAAACATACTGGTGTCGCGAAAGATGAAATGATTAGTCGAGTTCGTACTATTTCTAAAGATGATAGACGTACACTGGAAGAAACTAATCAATTTGTATATACATATTCCTCTAATGATGTTATCATGTGGTACACTAGAGATAGCTTTCTTTATCGTAAACTTAATAGAGCATTACGCAGTCATGATATCAATGAAATATTTTTATGGCGATTTTATATTAGTGATCTCGACAGAAAGCTTCGAGAACTATGCTCAAAACAAATGGATTCTCAACCTAGGTGTACGTATCGAGGTCAAGTGCTTCATAAATACGATTTATGTAAGCTGGCAAAGAGTGTAGGTAAATTAATCGCAATGACTTCTTTTCTGTCTACAACTTCGGACCTTAATATTGCGAAAATTTTTGCTGACTATTCTGGTGAAGCTGATTCTCCTCAGCGATCAGTTGTCTACAAGATATTCATAGAATCAAACAATAGTAAAATAGTATGTGCCAATATCTCGCAACTAAGTACATACGCAGAGGAAGTAGAAGATCTATTCTCAATACGATCAATGTTTCGTATTGAACGAGTTGAACATTCTGATAATATATGGTATATTGATTTAACAGCTGTAGATGAAGACGATCAGCAATTTTGTACAGCAATCAATCCTTGGAAAGCAAAAATTAGTGAACAGAGTTTTTTTTCTGAACGTCATGAACCATTATTTACTCGATTTTTAATCAATGAAAATAGTTCTTTTCTAGCTTTTCAATTACTTACTGATATAATGTTACGACTTTATCAAACTGAATTTGCTCGACAAGAAATGATTGAAATGTGCCGATTGAAATATGAAAATAACCCAACTGATAAAGAGAAGATCAATGAATTTGAAAGTTCTTATCAACATAGTGATGCCTTAGAATGGTATACAAAAAATTCTTTTCTTTATCGACTTCTTCATCAAGCACTTCGAGCGGAAGATATTGATACTATTTTTAAACTACGTTATTATATTTATGATTTACATAATCAACTAGCTCAACTTCATACATCTTATCTTTACTCTTTACCATCGGATCAACCAATACTAACACTTTATCGTGAACAACGTATGAAAATTACTGAACTGACAAGACTTCAGGAGAATATCAACAAATTAATATCTATGAATAATTTTTTATCAACAACAAACAATGTTACAGCTGCTATCTTTTTTGCTGGTGACGGCTGTCTTAATGATCCAGATGGGGAAGTATCAGTTGTTTATCAAATCACAATTGATACAAGTGTTCCTCATTCAATTCCATTCGCCAAAATCCAATATGAAAGTATATTTGAAGACGAAGATGAAGTTTTATTTTCCATGGCTTCAGTATTTCGGATAGATAGTATTGAAAAGTATGGAGCATTGTGGGTGGTTGAATTAACACTAATTAACAAAGAAGATGAAACATGGAATATTCTTACAGCTCATTTAAATCAATAATATCAGTGAGTCGTCATATGTATTTATTCAACAAACTATACTTTACATTGAGAGTCTGATATTGTTTTTCAGCTTTAGAATATAAAATAGAAAAGTTTTTGTGTAGCTTCTAATAATATAGTATTATAGTATGTGTGGTAAAAACTTGAATATACAACGTTTTTTATACTGTGATAGATAAAATGTAAATAAATTCACGTTAAGATAAGAAAAAGATAGAATCAATGAAATATACACAATCTAAAAGGACTATGAAAAAGATGTTACTATATATGTTAGACTTATCTCTGTTTACCTCTTTTATCATTCTTCAAAGTTTTAACCATCAATTGTTGTACATAATAGACAGATATGTAAACGTTGAGTATGATATCTTTCATTAATATGAATCATAGAGGGATCAATATGAGTTTTCTTATTTGATATTTCTCATATAATCATGGTTGTTTATGATTTCGAATGCTATTCACTGTTTAGTTGACAAGAATATAACGTGTGACATTTAAAATAAATTTCTAATAATCACAATGCTGTAAATATATCCTTTTTTTATTTAATAATTAACTTCATTATGCCATAGATTTCACAGCAATAACATCTAAATGACAATTTTCTTCTTCTCAAACACTCACTGAAATTTCACTATATTTCTTAAAAACTAATTGTTTTAGTTCATATTGAAAAGCTACTGATACCATAATAAAAAAGAAAAATAATTGCATTAAAAGGATGGTGTGAGTACTTCATTTGCTATTATCATTTGATAAACTGAATAGACAGTAAGACTAATACTCAATATGATATAAACAATATTTTACTGGTATACAATGTATCTTTCTTGCTAATATTAGATAGACAGTTTGATACTCTATCTAAAATTACTTATATCTACCGTTGTCAAATGCTGCCTCAATGTAGAAAAAATATTTTTCTTAAAATTGGCAATCACACATTCCATGCAGGTTACTGTTTAATATTCACCCACATCTTCATTAAGATACTCACATATCAGTTGACATTTTATGATATATAACTATGACAAAACTAGAGAGAAAAACATTAATAAAATCTGTTTCGCACCAGCTGCAATACTAGTAAAGTATTCACTCTTTACATAACTTTTCTTTCATTCGTATCGACTTTGCTAAATCATTCATATGTAACATATAAATTATTTTATGTAAAGAATGTCACATATGGAGTCAATGACACGATATAAGAGAACGAATAATATATAACTCAATTCTCTTTATTCTTATTTCTTGTGATATCAGCATTTGACCTTAAACTGCAAAATTTGACATCAAGATATAATTACGATATGGAAGATTATAATGAATGGAATGGTAAGTAGTGTTATTATTCTCCATTAAATATTTGGCATCTTTAGTTTAATCATTTATTAATAGAATCTTTGTTCGGCTGTTGTGATGATTGTAAAACCTGTTGTTGTGGCTTATGTTGTACGCCATGTCTATTTGGTCAAAATGCTGAAAAAATTGATAATAGTAATTGTTGCGTCTGGTGTTGTACCTATATGTGTCTTACTGACTTTTATTTATGTTGGGTCCCACATTATATGAAACGACAACTTCTTCGACAAAAATATAATATAAGAGAAGATCCAAATTGTAATGATCTTCTTGCAACAATTTTCTGCAGTCCTTGTGCACTTTGTCAAGAAGCTCGTTTCCTTAAACATCGAGGTATAAATAATTAATAAAATGATATCATCTGATTCTATGTTTTCATATTTATAGCTGAACAAATAACGGATACAACAGTTTTGGCTCCACGCATGACACAACCTGGTAAAACTTATTAAATATAAACATCATATTTTAGTTCACTCATAACTACTAACCTTCATCCACTCACTGGCAGTATAATTTAATGTAATCTTAATTTTTTTTAATGGTTATTGATTAAATATTATTGTAATATTGATCTTGCGATATCAAAAAAATTAATTCACAGTACCGTCCTAGTTTTATTGTTATATGTTGATCAGAGATCGATATTTTCAAATAACTAAAAATTTACATATATTAGAAATTATTTTATCTAAGAACTGTATAATGTGAGCTAGATAGTACAATTTAGAAACTGTAGTATGCTTCGAATATACCAGGCATACAAGAATAATCTATTTAAAAACGGTCATTATATATACATATATGTATATTGATGTTGTTTTGTGTGACACTTGAATTGATATTATAGATACATGTGCAAGTGAAAGCTATCGAACAAAAGTAAATTTCTTATGTGCTTGTCCTTAAAGATTTTAACTCACAGTGTAAGCAATAAATTACTATTATTTATAAATAATTGAGGTAGACGAGAGTATCAATATGTGTGTACGAGTGCGTCTCGAGGTACACATATGGTCTATATCTACACCTATATTCTTTATCATAAAATACAAGACAAAAAATTTGAATTTCAAAGTATATTTATTGCTTGTATAAAGTAACAGTTGATAAAAAAAACAATATATTAATGTTCGAACATAAACCTTGCTATTACTGTGCAAAATAATATTGAAACATAATTGAAATTATGAATAATAATTGCCGCTGATTCTGTGACGGGAATCGATGCTGTTGAACTTTTTATTGCTGCTATTAAAAATAAAATCAATTATTATTCTGACACAAAATTAACCGAGTTTTTATTTTTGTTATCATAATCATTAAGAAATTAATAAGAGATATCAATTTACTTTTGTAAGAAGTTAAGAGATTCTACTTACTTGACCTTGTATTTGAACTTGTCGTAAATTTAGAGGTTAATGTCGAATCTAAATAAGAATTAATTATTGATCTACATTTTTTCAGAGAATGAAAAGATAATTTCGTTTACTCAAAGTTGTAATAATTGATACGTAAGAGGTTGTAATCGATGATACTGATGTCTTCTGTGTTGAAGTTGATGTTATTGATGTCTTCTGCGTTGAAGT